ATTGGTTATAACTATTTAAAGACAAATTTTATTCTTTCGATAATTTTAGTTTTATATTAGAAAAATATCATAAATACTTAAATTTTGTGCTTAATTAATTGAAAATTTTAATTTAGGTGACGTCATATTTGTTCTTTTATGCTATGGTAATATAGAAAAATATTAAGTTAATATTAAAATATTTTAAAATTCTATTTTTACATTGAATTTTTTTATGTGTGTATAATTTTTTTTTGTGTCTTTAATTTATGTTCAGTCTATACTTTTCAAAATATTTAACATAAGAATTTAAAATATTATTGAAATTTTCAAATATCTACCTACTTATCTGTAAATATATACAGGGTGCTTTGCATAAGTTGGTAAATAATTTCAGGAATGCTTTTTTGATCAATTTTCAGCAAGAAATTGTATTGGTGGAGTGGGGGGGGGGGGGGGGGGGGGGGGTTGGGGTTGCACATATACTCGTTTTCGAACTACAGCCAGTTGAGAAGAAAAAAGGTACCAGACTTTTCCTGCATATAAATAAATATTTATTACTTCGGAAATATACAACATAGAGCTATCATTGGAAACTTGTTTTACAGGTCATTTATTGTTCTTTATTTTTGGTCTTACAACTAATTTGATTTGAGCGATAGTTTTCGAGATACAAGTCGGAATTTTTTTTTTTTAGAAAACTCGATATTTCCCAAAAATTTTTGTTATAATTTTTTGTTTTTTTTTTCGATGCGCTACGATAAGATCTAAAAGTTAACCCATATAATATTTTCCTCTAGCTCTTATAGTTTTGCCAACTTATGCGAACACCCTGTATTTAAATAAACGTATACATATATATACATACAATATACATAATTTTATCAAATAATTTTATGATTGATATGCTACAATTTTTACCTCAAATACATTTCTATTTTTTTTTTTTGCTTTTTTTTTTTTTGCAATTTTCTATAAAATTTTAAAAATAAGTCAAGGTTATTTTTATATTATGTCAAATATCATTTATGTTATTGATATTAATATTATGAACATACATATGTAATATACACACACGTATATAATATTAATGTATATATAACACATTGTTAAAACATAAGTTAAAAATAAATAAAACAAAAAAAGAAATAACAGAACAATTAGAAATAATTGAAACTAATTTAGAAATATTGAAGCAAAAGCAAAAAAAAAAAAATAAGAACAAGAAAAACTTTTGTACTTAACTTTTACTTTTCATCTTAAACAAAAAAAATAACAACAAATAAAATAAAAAATAAATAAACAAATATTTTAAAAATAAATAAAAGAAAAATATTTCAAGTTTAATATTTTAAATATTAATGTATCTGTCGATCACTCAAAAATTAAAGAAGAAAATAATAAGAGTACACTTCTGGCAGAAGGTGGGCCTCCTCATTTACAATATGTTCACGTTCAATATAGAACAGCTAAAGAAAATATCTTAAAGAGAGCTTTGTATGCTGCTACACAATTATATTTTATTTATATATATGATTGTATGCGTAACGCTAAAGCACTAAAAATAATTTTTTTAACTATTGAACTTTTTGTTTTAAAAATATTTTTAAGTACATATAAATCACTTATTGATATGCTTTATTTAGTTTCTTTTATTGTAATATAACACTCAGAATTTCTCCATGGTTTATTTGAGTCTATGTATTAAATTGAAATGTTGTAGCCATTCCAATGAAACGTTCCTCATATACATGTAGAAGATTTGTTGTTCCATATAAAGCCATCTACCGGTGTGAATACCTCACTACTCCTTTGTGAATACAGATGTATAAGTTGGAAGTGTTGCTCCTACAGTGTTATATACCTCTATAAATGTTATATAAATGTTATATAAAAGTTGTTCCTACTGTGACATTCAGAGTTGTACTCTTATTGTTCCTTTAAATGGAACGCTACAATAGATTTCCATATTAATATTTTATTTTTTTAAATTAATTAAAATATTTATATTTCGGGTATAAATTTCTTTAAAATAAAAGTGTGCTAATTATTTATTTTTCAAAAATTCCCATAAACATTTTTTTTTGTATTTCATATTTTGTTAAATATTTTGTATAACAAAATATTTGAACTATTTTTGATAATAAATTTACAAACATACTCGTTTCTAATGTCTTTTATACACATACGTTCGTATATATGTATGTATATAAATTGGTAATTTATTACGTGTAAATAAAATATTTTTTATAATTATTTAGAAAAGAAATGATGGGTACAGTCATATACATATACTATACATATTATAATGAATTTATGACAAGAAAATAAAAAATAAATAATTTGGAACAAGGAAGTTTTCATTTTTCTAATGTTGAATTTTTTTTTTCTTTTTAATTTCTTTATAAATTTTTTTTTGCAAATATTATAAAATAACACGATTAATAAATAAGATATGAAAGTTGTTGATTTATTTATATGTTTACAGGGTATCTCGTAACAAACTGCACTATTATATAATATTGTATAGGCCTTTATTAGTAGACAAACCTTTTGTGTAGAGGTAATGTTCTTCTTTAATCACTAAAAAAAAAATTTACAACAACCGTTCAAAATGACCGTTCTGTGTTCTGTTATGCAAATGTTCAACTTAATAATTTAGTTTCCATTACATTTGCTAAGAATATCATATGGCGGCTCTTACTAATGCAACTTTTTAAGTCAGTTTTGATTTAAATAATCTATTGACAAACAAATATTTTTCCTGATGGAAGAGAATTTTTTTTATTTGAAATGATTTTTTTGAAAAAAATTTCGATATTTAAACATAAAAATTTGATTGTTATGAGGAAAAAATGTGATGTTTAGCCCGCCGATTGCAAATTTGATTATTAAGATGTTTTGGTTGAAATCCCAGTTGGACTCCTATGCAAGAAGAATATTTCGATATCGATTTTATCGAAATTTTATTGTAAAATAAATTGTGGTTCGACCAAAAAAACCTTAAATACCTTAAGAGCAAAAAAAACCTTAAAATAATGTCAACGATTGCTATCTTAAAAAGGGGGCAATTAATTTATTTTAAAAGAGTTTTATGTCTCAGAAGCGAAAGTGAATTTCTCGAATAATACGGAATAATTTTCTTCAATCGATTATCTCAAATAAAAACAAATCGATGTTTTGCTTTAAAAATCGATTTCACTTTTGATTTTATTTTTACGAGGGCTGTCCCAGAATTAAGTAGCCTAATCAAGAAAACACAAAAATTTTGAAAAAAAATACTCGTAAGCCTGGCAGAAAGCCCTGTCATTTTAAGGATTAACTGTCACACTTTTATATATTTTTTTTTTCTTTTCAGATTACCGACTATTAATAGTGAAGCTTTTCAGTAAATTTTTAATATGGAAGTAAGAAGTAATTATTAATTTTGTTTTTTTTGTTTTCTGTTGAAAATTTTAATTTAAGAAACATTTAATTCATCACCTATTCTAATAAAATTTTTATTGCAAAATATTTTTCAAATGTTTTTCTCTGTTAATTTTAAAATTAAAAAAATCTTTTCACTTAATCTTAAAGTTGTCAAAATATTTGGTGTTTTTTTTTTTTTTTTTTTTTAAGTTTTCAATATTTTGTAATGCCAATTCACTTGATTGTTTAAGTATGTTGAAAAATTAATTTTTTTATGTGTTTGCCATGAACCAAAAAACAAAAAAAAAATTTTTTTTTAAATTTCACATGATAAATTTGAACACTTTAGTTTCATTATTTTGTTGCTTATACAGTAGGCACACTACTTTTAAATTTTCAATTAAAAATAATGTTATTGTCAGTAAGAATATGTCCTATTTTTAATTTTTAATAAATTAATATAAAAATATTAATTTTAAATAGTACAATCTAAAATTCGGAAATTTTTTCGCTGAAATAAATTTAAGAATAAACAAAGTTTGAGCTGAAGTAAATCCCATTCGTATACGATTACAAGTACTACAACAAGTGCAAATAATATAATGCAATACTCACTTATACAGTTCGGATTAATTTTCGGAATACAACACTCGAACATTTTTTATGTAATAAAGCTTTAATAAATAATTTTGTATGTATTGGTAAATTATTGAAAATAATGTTTACGTCACTCGATTTTTTAATTTGTTCGAAATATCGAGATATTATTGTCATTTTATTTAACTAACACTTTTATTCAATACAAAATCTTTACAAATAATGCAATAAAAATTAATGAAATAAAAAAAAAAAATTTATAAAATAATTTTGAAAAGAAAAAAAAATATTGTGAATATCTGTGTTTATTTTGATCGCCTTCAGAAAATTTCATTTAAAAAAAAAAAAATTCACAATAGAAAAATTGTCGAGGCTAAAAAAATATTTGAACAAGTGAAATTAATTAAATTGTTAGTAATAGAATACATTATAGCATTTGGTATTGTTGACATTTCAAAAATAACATTTTAATAAAATTTATGAGTTTTTTTGTCTTTAATTCCTAAAAAAAAAGAAACAAATATTTAATTTTAACCGTTATCATATTTTTATTGAAATTATTTTATTTTTATTTATTTTTTGACTATTTCAATATACTTATGTATTAATTGTGAATTTTTTTTTATTTATATTTTCAGGAATTCAACAATGATATTTAATATTTGACAGAAATGTGATTTAAACTATAAAAGAGTAAATAAAGAGCAAATTGTAAACAAAAAAAGGAATTTAAGAGAGTAAAATTTTAATGAAATTTAAAATAAAAAATAAATAAAAAGCAGATTATTATTATTTAATTAATAAAATAAATACATACACAAAAAAATAAAATAATTAAATAAAATATTTATTAATTAAAAAGAAAAATATTATAAAAAAAAAATTTTTATTTAATTCAAATGGAAAATTTCAGTAATTTGAGAAGAAAGAAAAAAATTTTTAATAATAAAAGAATTAAAAATTTATGATTAAAATTTGTGTGTTTCTCTAAATTAATATATGTAATTTGTGTTTATTCTTCAATTGAATAATTAAAATTATAGTAGATTTAGTAAGATTTTTTTTTTTTTGTAATGTGAATTAAGTTATTGATTTTAAAGAATATTAATAAGATAGAAGATCTAAAAAAAAAGGCAAGAAACAAAATAAAACTGAAATAATCGAAAAGAAAAAATTAAAAAAATTTTTCTTCAAAATAATAAAATGTACCCGAGTGCTGCAACAATGAATGCAGCTGCAGCAGCAGCAAGGCATCCGGTAAGTTTTGTCAATATTAAAATCTTTTCTTATTTAAATATTAAAACAAATATTTATAATTATATTTGAATTTATTTTTAGAATAATTTCAATTAATTCCGGGCTTATTTTGAAATTGAAATTATTTAATGAATTTGTGTCATAAATATTTTTATATCAAAGTTATTAAATTAGAGTTATATCTTCTAAAATAATATATCGAGTATAATAAGAAACTTAGGTATTTATTTGCACGTCTTAATTGATTTGGGTATGTCGATATTATTTTTAATTACAGAATTATACTCTAACCATTGCCTTATTTATAAAAGCGACGAGAATGTTCGAATTATTGCTTTGGAATTAAATTTTCCAGATTCTTAATATTGTAATGAGAAAATGATTTTCTTCTTGTAAGTACCTAGGTAATGCAAAAAATTGGAGTTGCCCATAGTTATACTCATATAGTATAATTTGCCCAAAAACCCATTAAAGTTTGCTGACAGTTTTAGACAATTTAGTATTCATTTGAATTCAATAATTGATTATATTTTCATAAAGAGTATATTGGTTATTTAGAAGTGATTTAAATATGAGTCTAAGTATATAAAAAAATTTGAAATATACATATTTTATATCATTATTATAAGCAAATAATTTGAGTATGTAATCTTATTGTACACACTCTATCAATCTTATAAAACTTTCAAAACTAAATATAAATGCTATGAAAGTGTACACAAAATATGCATGTAGTTGTACATATGCCACTGATTTATGTATAACGAAATAGATCAATCATTTTTTGAATTTACTATATACATATACTTAAGTATTGTAATCAATAAACTGTTATACAAAGTATTTATGAAGTGTTCATTTTATACATAATTTTTGAATAATAAATTATTATGTTTCTTAATGGTAAACTTTAATGGTAATTTATAATTATAATACGAAATTGATTATTATAATAAGCTTTCAAAGTTAGCGTTTCGAAAAAAAATTCTAAAATTTGATCCATATAATTTCTAAAAACATAAGAAATCAGTTTTTTTCTATAGTAATTTTTACTATAATGTCTATTCGTTTATTTATGCCTTTATTCTATTAATTACGCCTTTATTGAGTACGTCATTAAATATATTCCATGCGATTTGAGCATTTTTTGAACCCTAGACTTTTCAAAGAGCCGCTAACAGCTCAAATGAGCCAAAAATTTATTTTTATATTCCACCAAAAAATTATGCCATTTTTAATTTAAGTGTATTCGGTAATTTGAAAATGGAAGGAAATGGGAGGAGGGAGTGCGGGAAGAGGCGAGTGGACGAGGGTGCGGGAGGGGTTGGCCGGGATTAAAAAGGGAATAATAATTGTTTTCATCAAATCATCAAGTTTCTCTTTCTTAACATCGTAGAAATTATAAATTTAAAATTTACAATTTACCAAGTATTTCAGTTACCAAAATTAATTGCTTTTCTCTTTTTTCAAATGTTTTGCGTTTTTTTATTTTCTTTCGGTAATTTTTATTAAAACATCAATTTTTTTTTTGTTTTTGTACCTGCAATTTGTTTTGTTTTTTTTTTCTTATTTTTTTTTTTTTTATTTTTATAATTAAGTATATGTCATTGAGCACAAATTACCAAATTTAAATTATATAAGTAATGTAAATATAAAAAGCAAAATAAACACAAAAGAAATGGCAATAATTTACCCTATACTCTCATTACTTGTTACTGTACACACAAGTATAATTTTATATTTTACTTTTATGTTCATACCTTGATGTCCTTAATTCCTATATCAAATGTTAATGTATAATATTTGTATAGGTATGGTAAAAAGAAATAAAAAAAAAATTATTTTTACTCCTTTATAACATCAACATAATTTCATTTCCCGTGACATTTGACTCTATCTATATACACTCTTTTCAGTTTTTATAAGGTAAGGACATAAAACAAGAATACAAAAAAAAAAGAAGGATAAGTCATCCGAAGTAAATTTAAACGAAAATATATAAAATAAAGTACAAATCCTTTAGGAATATCTGTATATATATATACAATTATATTATACATATATACACGACTATATATATATATATTTAAGTGGGCTTGTGTACTAACCAACAAACAAAATTGAATGAGGGGTGGAAATATAAAAGTTTTTTTTTTTAACAGAATAATTTTCATTTCGTGCGCCTTTCAATTTTTTTCTCTTCTGTTATTTGCTTTTAAGTCGTTTTTATTTTGTTATTCTCCCGTTTTCGTAGAAATTCTGGAAAATAATAATAAGTATAACAGAAGAAAAACAACAACAACAAAAGAAGGGTGGATCGGTATATCATTACAAAGCGAAGGGTGTTCGTTTCGTTTCACCTTTTTATGAGGGTGACTTGTTATATTTTCTCTCTTTTTTTTTGTATTTTTGGTTTTCTTTCTAATCTAAATTTTTCATTTTTGTTTTCTCTTTTGTTTTCACCATAATATTTTTTTATTACTCTGTCTTTAACATTGGGGTAACGGTATATTTTTACGGTCATATACTTTTATCCATATACAAAATATAAGTATACTTATATAATATAAAAAAAAACTTGTTTTTTTTTTTTTTTTTTTTTTGTGAAAAAATAAGGATATTAAGCAGAGGTTAAAAAGGCGGATTTAAAAGCATATAAAAATAAAATTATATTGTATAATGGATAAAGAGATCGAGAGGAAGAATGAGAGGAAATAAATGAACAGAAAAAAGAGAAGAGGCGTAAAGAGTAATATGAAAGAGAATAATAACGTATAGACGATACATTTATTAAAGAGGAGAGTGACGGGAGGAGTACATGAATATTTTAATAACAGTATACGATAAGGATACAAACTATATTGTATAAAACGGAATATAATAATATAACACGGGCTATAATAAGTGATGAGGGTGTATTTTATACTGTTATACTAATAATATAAACGTAAATATATATATGTATACTGTTATGTTTTGTGAAACGGAGGCAAAAAAAAAATTTTTTTTTTTATAAAAATAAAACGTAATATAAAGGAACAACAACAAAGAAAAAAAAGTGAAATAACGGGAAAAATTGAAATAATAATGTCACATCCGGTACACATTGCGGAATTTTTATTTATTTTTTTTTGTTCTCAACCGTTATGTTATGTGCCATTTTAGAATTTTATTTTTTTTTTCCTTCTCTTTTTCTTTTTCATATTATTTTTGGTTTTGTTGAAATTTTACCCGATGCCATCATCAGTGATTTCTTTGTTTTTTTTATTTTTTCCTATGGCAAATCTATGGCAATTATGACAGCGAAAGCAAAAAAAAAGAAAAACAAAAGAAAACAGGAGTATGAGTTGAATATAACGTATATAACGGGGCTCAAAGAAAAAAACTTAATATACAAAAAAAATAAAGAATGAAGAAAAGAGGGAGAGAGAATACATTAAGTGAAATACTGAAAAAAAAAATAACAAAACAAAAAGGGAGCAACTAAATAAAATAAAATTGAAGGGTGCTGCTGTTATGAAACACTTTAAGGGATGTAATTTTGAAATGGTTTTCAATAATATTGAGTTAAAGCCATTTATACGGTTCGTTCCCCTGATTTGAGCATTTTTATTTTAATATTTTTGTTATATTCTTTTTGCATTTTGTTGTTTTTAGCAATGATTACTGTTTTTGAAAACACCTACGTTTTTATTATGTATTTATATTGTGTTTTATAATAATTATATATAGATGTATGTATGTATGTATGTATAGATATGCACACATGTTGATAAAATAAAACAAGAGACGAAGATTTAATTTTTATATGTAGGCTTACTTTATTATTACTTGAATTCAAAAAAAAAAAAAAGTTGTAAACAACAAAACGTTACGACTTTTTGTTCTTCATTTCAGAGTTCTCTTTAAATACCCTCCCCCTGCCCCCGGATTACTCTTGTATTTCTTTTAAAAGAGTTTATATATTTATTGTGTCTTGCCAGCTCTACACACTATACTAATTTTTCTTAACTTACCTTTTATACTGTTTTCCTTATAATCGTGTTGCTAGTGCTACATTTTACTGTTGTCAATGTTAATTTTGTTGTCACTGTTATATTTAAATACGTTAGTTTATGTGATTTTTTGCGTAAAAAATAAACGTAAAGAAAAAAACTGAATAAGAAAAATGTAAAAAAAAAAATTGTTTGTTTTATTTTTAAATTTTATTTCGGAAAAAAAAACAAGAGGGATTTAATTTTTGTTATTGTAATTTTACATTTCTCACATTTTTATGATGAATTTTTATTTTATTTTTTTTTTTTTTGCTAGCATGACAAGGATAATGATTATGAATTCGCTTAAGGGAAAAACCACCTTTTCGTGTTTGTAATTACAAAACGAGGATAAAATTATATTTCAAAATTATATGTGCAGACACACACACACACACACGTCCCTACGTAATAGTATGTTTTTAAATCAAGGGTGTAAAAAACACTAAAATACAGAAAAATTGAATGCAATTTTATTTTTGGAGTAAGGGAAAATTTTCAATGGGATGAATTGACAGATTGGAAAATTCAGGATTTGTTACGTTTATTTGTGGTTCTTTATTTATATATATATATCCGTATTTATGAACTCTGCGTGTGGTGACAGCGGTATATAAAAATGTAACAGTTTTTTTTTTTTGTAATACTTTGTTTCCTTATTTTATTTTTCATAGTAAATAATTACTAATTTATAAAATATTAAAAATGATTGAATTGAGTAGTAAAGAAAAATCAAAAACAAAAAAAAAAATAAGAGAATATAAAAAATTAGAAACGAAAAATTTATTTTTAAAAGCGATAAAATGATAAAAATCTAAATTAAGGTACAATATAACAGAAATTGTATCCGAGTATATAGAATCAAGCCCATATATGTACAATGTTAATTTAAATACTTGCTTATATGTTTGGAAAAAGGAAAACGAAGCAAATTAAAATTGAATTATGTTATAAGGGACGAATTCG